GATATGGAGTGAAAAGATCGATATATTAATATAATCTTTTTTTTTTGGAGAAAAAATATAATTAAATTATTCCGTACAATTATTAATATTGTATACCATAATTTTTTGTACCTTTAATAAAAAATCAAGTTATATATGGTCCATATCTTCTTTCTTTTTAGCAAAGAAAAATATTTTATGTGAAAAAATATATTTAAGCTAATTTTTATTTAAAAAAAATGATAACGGTTTAAAATTACTATTCATAATCTGTAATTTTGGAACGAGACACTCCTTTAATTATTCTAAAAGATTGATTATTCATATAAGCATATTATAAGTAATTAATTTTTAGAAATAATAATCCAAATATATCATTAACAAATTTTTTATCTAAAAGAGACAAAAAGAAGGGAAAAAAACTTTTTTTTTTCTAAAACACTTCTAAACATCTCCCAAAAAAAACTTTATATATATATATATATATATATATAATTTTTCTGATGATTCGATCCTTTGGCCTTTCGACCGAGGTTATAATACCTTAATTAGGCAATGTTCAGATTGACAAATGTATAGTGATAGATTTATATCTTTATGTTTAACCTATATCATTTATTTAGAAGGCAAAAACTTATCTAAATGTGTTTTAACAACTCATTGTTATAACATAATAAAATTATTGAATTGTAGTTATGTTTATTCTTTATTTATAAATTTTGTAAATAAAGGGGATGTATTAATTGCTTATTTAGAACTTGCCTTCAAAATACTTTTTTAATTAAAAAATAAATTTTTAAAAAAGTTAACAACTTCATAAGTTATTTTTAGAAATTCCAATTTAGAGTGAGAAAAAAATGGTTGGAGCATTATAACACAAAACTAGATTTTGGAAAACATATATATGTTTCTAAAAACTTGGTCTTTTTTTTTTAATTTACATAGAATTTAAAAAACTTATTTAGTTTGTGCCTTTTAATATAATTTCGTTTGTTTTCTCCAATTGTATCAATGAGATAAACTAAGATTGATGGTGTTATAGGGATGGAAAACGACAAACAAACCAATCAAGGGAACAGAAGAGAATCTACAAGATGGCCGGCCAAATCGAGTCGGGCAGAGCTGCAGAGCCGACCTGAGCTCGGCCCAATGCCGAGCCCGACATCCTCCCTCTTCTGTTGTCCACGATGCCTTGGACCTTACGATGGTTATCTAGGGCTCACCTAGAAGGCTCTAGAACTCTCCAAACTATTATAAATAGGCTATGCAGCCTAATCCTAGGTCGAATTCGACCCTTGAATTCTATTACTCTATTATTCTCCCTTGCTAACTTAAGCATCGAAGTCTGTGTGACAAGAGTCACATCGGTCTAGTCTTGTTCGGTTTTACAGACCTTCGAGTCTCTGATAATCAAGTTTGGTGCGAACCTCGAAAAGAACTAGAAGAGCATAATCCATGTATCAACGTGACATAATCTAACATTCAAAAAATATAAATGAAAATTTTCAAATTTTGTGTATTAAATAAATACCATCGCTAAATTTATAATTTAATTATATTTTCTTCTTTTTGTTCATGTCAATATGATTTGAATTGAAGGTGAACTAAACCTAAATAATTGTAGCATAATTATTCATCCAAACATTTCTTTAAGATTAAATTGACTCTTTAGAAACAAATTCAAATTGCTATCCTTATATTTTTCTCTCAATCACGATTAAATCAAATATTCAAATTTTGACTATAGTTATAAATAATTTATGACTCGTTTAATAACGTTCCTATTTTTTACTTTTTATTATTTATTTTTAATAAAGAAAGACATAATTACATTTTGTAACTATTTTTTTTTTTTTTGCTCTTTATGCTTTTTATTTAAAAAGAATGTCACTACTAAATTTTAAATTAAAAAGTAAAAATTGTATATGAAATTAATTTTTTAGATTAAATATTCTATTTTTTTGTTATTATTACATTTTTAATATTTAGTCGATATATTTTTATTTATATTTTGGAAAATTAAAAACTTTTAAAATGAAAACAAGAAACAAGAAGCTTGATTGTATTGTTTCTAAAATTTTTATACTTAGGAAAAGTTTCTATTTGTGCAACAAACTTGGTCAAGTAACTTAGAGAATAGTTTAGACCTCGTCAAGATGTGCCAACTAGGATAGTTAAGTGTCCTTGCCAAGGGAAGACCTGCACAAGAGCAAACACTTCCATTCTAAAGTCAATTTAAGATTCGTTTTTAGTATATAGAGATCGAGCTAGAATATGATGTTTGATGCGGAAGTGATGCCCTCATTTATAGGTAGGGGATCGAACAGGCCATCTGACGTGTAATTATTGTTGTTATCCCGAAGGTTGGGTTTGTCGGGTGCTTATGGTCTCGTCCTGAGTCATACCTCTTTGTTATAGGAGAGTGTACTCTTTGCAGCGTTTGCGGCTAAATATGGAAGATTGTTTCTCCCTTTGAATGATCTGCAAATAAGACCTTCAAACTATCTTTAGGCAAGATCATCAAGCTATCTTTAGGCAAGATCTTCAAGTCGGTCTTCATGGAAGACCTTGTGGTCGATTCATACAAGATGTTGTCGGTTTGACCTTTCTCTATATGAAAAATAAGAAACATAAATAGTTGTCAAAAGAATAGGTTTTTGGTTACTAAACGACCCCTTAATTATCGATCTGGTTACTTTGACATTTAAGTATATGGGTTTGATCCTATTTTTAGCTATGTTTAGTTCAAAGATTTCAGAACTTCGAATTTGTATGATTTAGAATTAAATAATACTGAATTATATGTTTTATAGTGTAAATAAATGAACTACAAAAATTTGATACATATATAAATATACCATAAAATAGCACCTTTGACTGGATAAAATCAAATAAAATTAAAATTAAAAAAAAACTATTGCGTAAATTACTAGTAACTGACTAGTTGTATTTTATTAGAAGAAAAAATAATTGACTTGTTTTATTTAAAAGAAAAGAACCATTCGTTTCAAAAATAAAGAATTAACAAATAAAAGAACCACTGCAAAAAATGAAGGAAAAAACTGCACACGGAGTTTATTTATACTGATCTATTTATATTTTATCTAATAAAATAAGTAGATGTTATTAATTAATTTAAGACTAAAAAATATATCAGAACAAAAAATTAAATAAGTGGAGCTCGCACAAACGGTCGTTAGTGAAAAAGAGAATTGTGTTCATACAGAAGAAAATGTTTAAATTTCATTTTATTTAATTTAGTTCATGAGATTTCAAAAGAGTTATTTTGTTAAAGAAAAATTAATTAGTTTTTTTTAATAAAGAAAAAAAATATAATTTTGGTCTTTTATATTATTGAAGTAATTAAAAAATATTACAAAAGAGAATAAATTGTAAATTTATACAATTACATGAAACTAATTAGTGACTTTTTTTTTAAGTAATGATATTTGCATAAGTACATATTTATTTTATGTCATTCACGATGATTTCTCTATATTATTTTGTCACGTAATATCTACTTACCTAATAATTGCCTCCGACCTATATAGCTTGAATATAGGTTCACAAATGACAAAACATTAACACGTTTGATATACATACTAAGCTATAGTTTTTAGTCAATAACCTGGGAGTGAGGATTTGAATATTTATTTAAGATAATATTTAATCAGTTTAGCTATACTAGAGTAAATACATGTTAGTATATGGTTTAAAATAAAATAAATGTAATGATAAAAAAAATTAATTGAGAAACTCAAGTATACATTTTGAAAGTTCTAAATTTTAAATATTTAAATAAATATTTTTAAAGTCCATGGACTAAGATTTAAATTAAAAATAAAATTATATAGGTCTATACCCAAAATATTTAGTTCCATCCCATTTAATAGATAATATAGATAAAGTAAATCTTTGTCTAACTAATATTATTTAACCCTTTACAAATAAACTACATGAGAAATTCATTCTTAAATACGTAAGCAAGTACTATTCTATATAAAGTAGAGCATGTGTTACTCATGATTGACTAGTTCTATTTTACACATAATAAAAAGTCTACCTTATTTTATTTTAGAAAAACGATTATAATTCTCATCATTCATGAGGGACGTTAGTTTCTTAGGAATCTAAAATTCCCATGGAACGACATCAGAACTTCTATACGGACATCTTGTGGATATCCTAAAAAGTTCATACGAGAGGTATCTAACGAGTTTTCGATGTCCTTTTGAAATATAATTTTTCAAGAGTGTTGTGTCAAGAGCATCCGCTCTTTTCATTTTTACCCTTCATTTTTTTCCTATATATTTTCTTTCATCAATTTTTACCACAAAAAATTATTTATTTTATTTTTAAATTTATAATTTAAATAAATTGATGTATTCGTGGCCCAGCAAACAACTTTATGCAATAAACTGCAATTAAATTAAATAATATCTCAATATTTTTAATATTTTGAAAAAATTATATTATTAATAATATTTATTATCATAAATATATAATTGTAAAGCAACATTTTTTTTTACAATTAATATACATGTGATATTTTGTATAAATAAACTTCATGCACGATAACACAAATTATATAATTGTCTTTTTGGAAAAATATTAAAGTTGAAGATGAAATTTATATTAATTTAATATGAATTAATTTTTCTACAAAATAACATATAAAAATTAATACAAAAAATAATTAAATTAATAAAATAAATCTATGAATATGTAAATTATATAAATATTGGCAATATGTAAATTTAACACATCCCAAACATTTTTAAAAAAATTTCTACAACCAAGGGAGAAATGTAAAAGTAAATATATATTTTTTTTAATAAAGAGCAATTTTTTAATAGTGATCACATAAAGACTGATGTTGCTCACTAGTGAGGACGAATTTTATTTTAGACTGAACAACCCAAATAGGACGACCATTTACCGGCTACCGGCGTTGACATGGTGGAGGGAACACTTGAAGTTACTATAAATTAGTGAATTGGCAAGAACTACAAAACCAGAGAGATGAGATTATTCTTATACGTTTCTTACTAATAATTCATTGAATTTGAAGCTATGGAGATTGAAATTGCAGGGTTTATTTTAGTGTCTTTTCTGTGGGCTTTATGGGTCTGGCGCCGCCGTGGAGCGGCGGAGGAGACGGGGCAGCTTCCGCCGGGGCCGCCGCGTTGGCCGGTGGTCGGAAACTTGCCCCAACTCGGCTGGTCCGCTCACGAGTCGTTCACTAAACTCGCCGCGAAGTACGGCCCAATCATGAGCCTCCACCTCGGATCCATGAGCACGGTGGTGATCTCATCAAGCGAGGCGGCGCGTGAGATGTTCAAGAACCACGACGCGCCGCTCGCGGGGCGGAAGATCTACGAGGCAATGAGGGGGGACCACGGCACGGAAGGCTCCGTGATCGCGTCCCAGCACGGGCCACACTGGCGAATGCTAAGGCGTTTACTCACGACGGAGTTCTTCGTCACGCGCCGCCTGGACGCCACTCAGAACGTCCGGCGGCGGTGCATTGACGCGATGCTGCGGTTCATGGAGGAGAGCAGCGGCGGCGGCGCGTGTGGAATCGACGTGGGAAAATTAATCTTCGTAATGAGCTTCAATTTAATCGGAAACCTGATATTTTCGAGAGATCTTTTGAACCCCAATTCGAAGAGAGGAAACGAATTTTACTACCACGCGAGGAAGGTGATGGAGACGGCCGGAAAACCGAACGTGGCGGATTTTTTGCCGTTTTTCCGGCGGGTGGATCCGCAGGGGATTAGGAGGAAAACGCAGTTTCATGTGAACAAGGCGTTCGAAATCGCCGGTGAGTTCATCGGAGAGAGATTATTGGCCGGGGAAGATGGCCGGAGAGGGAAAAAGGATTATTTAGATGTGCTTTTGGAATTTCGCGGCGACGGCGAAGAACAGCCCTCTTCTTTCTCTTCCTGGATCATTAACGTTATCGTCTTCGTAAGCCAATATTCATTTAATTCCTTTTTTCACTCCATGATCAAAAATCAAATACTTTCTTATTTAAAGTTTAGGACTAAAAATAAAACACTTTTTAAAAATTTAGAAATAAATATAGCTTGTTTTCTATACGTATTTGTTTTTTTTTTAATTCTGAAAACATTTTTTTTCATGTTTTTAGTGTCTCCATTTGAGATTTTAAAAAGTTCGAATATAAAACTTTTTATAAATATCATAGACTTCATTTCATTTTTGTTAAAATTAAAATACGTGAAATAAATATATTATAAATTATATAATGTTCTAAAATAATAGTTCTACAAAATTTATAACATATTGTTAATAAATTAATTAATAATATTTTAGATTGAATTAGTCGTGCTACTGGATTTACAAATATATTACCAAAATAATTTTTTAATTTATATTTAATTTTTAAATCTGCTATCAAACACATATCTAAAATATATAATACATTTAAGTTTTTCGTTGAATTTATTATTTTTAGATTTATGCTCTCAAACCATATCAACTAAACACGCTTTTATAAATTGAAATAAGCATTTTTAAAGTTTAAAGAATTATAATTGAAAATCTTTTTAAATCCAGTGAATAAAATAGATAAATTAAATCTATAAGGAATGTACTTAAAGAATGTGAGGGATGGTGTATCTCACGTGCTACGTTTAAGAAATCATATAATATATGCTATTTTTGGAAAAATAAAAATGATCCTAACGTACTGTTTTTTTTTTCTTTTTTTTAATTATTACTTTATTGTATCGTTGGAACAAATTATGAGAAGTAGGTGTATGTAGAATCGGATTTATGTTTTCTTTGTTCGTATTATTTTTATTTATTATTTTGGTGGTCGGTTCCAAATATTTTAAATCATACCTATTGTGTTTTAAAAAAGTAATTTGGAGTATTGTTGTAATAATCTAGAAATTACAGTTTCATGTTTATTTGGCATCTTCTTGATTTTAGTCCTTATCATTAATTTTTTAGTAATCATTTAACAAAAATTTAAATTTTAAGCTCCATGTCTAGTTTTGTACACTTAAGTTTCAATCTATTTACTTAAATAACAAATAATAGTCTATTAAATACTCATTAAAACTAAAAAATAATGCTTTTTATACAAAATAGTAAATATTTAAAATTTTATGAACCAAAAGAAAATAAGTAATAAATTTTATTTAAACAAAGCTGATGATTTAAAAAGTTATTAAATAGTTGTATTTACTTTAAGAAAATTAAAACATAGTATTTGAAAATACTTTAAATTATAAGTTCGGTAGTTTCTCTACTTTTATGATTGTATTTATTTAAAACTAAAAAAATATATATAATAAACTACTATGTCATTTAGTCTTAGTTTATATTTCAAAAAGTTCCTTAGCTTTTGAGCTTTTTTTTTTCAGCTTTTAAACTTTTAAGGTGTTTCTTTTATTCCACTAAATTTATAGATTTATTTGGTTAAAATTCAACATTTATATCATTAAATTTATAGTTTAAATTCATATATCTCTAAGTGAGTTCGATCCGCTCCACATATTGTACTAAAAAAATTATTAAATATCTAACTTTGGTATAAAATTAACCAATTACACAACTTTGTCAGTTAAGGATCAGTCTTACAAAAATTAATTTACTAGGAAGTCAAATATATATATATATATATATATATATATATATATATATATATTCAATTTTACAGAACAATTACCTGTATAAATATTTGAAAATTTATTATTTAAAAAAAATTACTTTGTTTTAGCATTTGTCTCTCGTTGGATAATATGGTGGCAAGAGTAAGTTACTTATTTACTCACAAGGATATTTAAGTAATTTTCTTTTTTTAATTTTTGTTTTTGTTTCTTTTCAGGA